AATGAAAGTACAACATATCAAATTTGCGAGACACAGCTAAAATGGTGCCAAGAGGAAAATTTCTAGCACCAAATGCATATATTAGGAAAGAGGAAAGTCTGAAATCATAATCTAAGCTCCCACCTCAAGAACTTAGAAAAAGGAGAACAGAATAAACCCAAAGCCAGCCAACAGAAGGCAATAACAAAGAGCAGAAAAAATAGAGAAAATAGATGAAAGAAAGAGCTGGTTCTTTTAAAATAACCATAAAAATGAAAAACTTCTAGTAAGAATGACAAAGAAAAAAAAGACACAAATTGCTAATATCAGGAATAAAACAGAGAATATCACTACAGACCCTGCAGACAACAAAAAGATCAGAGGGAATACTACAAATAACTGTCACATAGAGATTTGACAACTTAGATGAAGTGGATCAATTCCTCAAAAAACACAGACTACCTCAATTCACCCAATATGAAATAGATCATTTGAATAGACCTATAACCTATTACAAACGAATTTGTAATTTAAATCCCCCCAAAAGAAAAACTCCAGTCCCCGATGGTTTTCATTGGAGAATTACACCAAATATTTAAAGGAAAATTAACACTGACTTTACACAATCTTTTCTGAAAATAGAAAATAGAACAATTCCCAATTCATTTTATGAAGCTAGTATTACCCCTATACCAAACCCAGACAAAAACAGTATATACACACACAAGAAAGAAAATTAAAAATCAATATCCCTCATGAATACAGATGCAAAAATACTTTTAAATATTAGCAAATATAATTCAACAATATGTAAAAAGAATTATCCACCATGAATAATTTGTTTTTTTTCTGGGTATGCAAAGTTGGTTCAATATTTGAAAACCAATCAAAGTAATCCACCATATTAACAGGCCAAAGAAGGAAAAAAAAAATCACATAATCATATCAATTGATGCAGAAAAAGCATTTGATAAAATTCAAAATCTGTTCATGGCAAAAACACTCAGAAAAATAAGAATAGAGGGGACATCTTCAATTTGATGAAGAGTATCTACAAAAATCCTACAGTTAACATTATGTTTAATAGTGAAAGACTGAATGTTTTGCTCATAAGATCAGAAACAAGGCAAGGATGTCTGCTTTCACCACTGCTATTAAACGTAGTGCTGGAAGTTCTAGCAAGTGCAAGAAGGCAAGAAACGAAATACAAAGCAGACATATTCGAAAGGAAGAATAAATCTGTCCCTATTTGTGGATGACACGATTGCCTATGTGTAAAATCCCAAAGATCTACCAAAAAAAGTAAAAAAGAAAAGAAAAAACTCATAGAACTAATAAGTGAGTTCAGCAAGGTCACAAAATACAATGTGAACACAAAATAATCAATTGTATTTCTATGTACTAGTATTGGGCACTGAAATTAATATTTCCAATCCCTTGTAAAAATGCAAAAAGGTAAAAATCTAACAAAACATGTATAGGATCTGTATGCTGAAAACCACAAAATGCTGATGAAAGAAATCAAAAATCTAAATAAAGAGAGACATATGTCATGTTCGTAGATTAACAACACAGTGAATAGTCAACTAATAATCAGCAGAGTAAAATAGTCATTTCTCCTCAACTTGCTACACAGGTTTAATCAAAATCACAGCCAAGTTTTGTTTAGATATAGAGATACAGACTATATTATTCTAAAATTTATATGAAAAGGTGAAGAAATTAGAAAACTTAAAAGAATTTTTATAAAGAAGAATAATGTGGGGGGAATTAGTCTACTTAATTTAAATTCTTATTATAACGCCTTAGTAATCAAGACAGAGGTGAAGGGGTAGACGCATACATCAAGGGGACAGATTAGAAAATGCAGACAGACTCCCACCCATATGTTCAACTGATTTTGGGGACGTGAGAGTGTCCATAAATTGGCAACATGCTGGATCCACATGGTGATGTGAATATCCAGCATCTTCACTCTGTCAGTGTCAGCATCCAGGTTGTGATGGTTTTGCAGGATATTACTATTGGAGGGAACTTGGTAAAGGGTCCACAGGATCTCTCTTAAACTTTCTAAAAGTTTAAGAAATATTTAAAGGTGATGGGAGCAGGTTATATATGGATATAATAAATGGGCATGAGTGGATATCATATATTTAGATTTTCAAATTGCCTGTAACAAGGCCAATATCAAACTTCATTGGATTGAGGAAGTTATAATGGTTAAAAAACCCAAATTTGGAATCAGGTTGTATTTTATCTTTAAAATTAAAAACAAAATTAAAAAAATATGTGCATGAGTATTTGTGTGTATGTATGTCTACACACATGCGTGTGTGTGTTGTGTGTGTGTGTCTCTCAGCTCTGTCCATTGAATACTCCCATAAACATTGGCTAACCGAATAATAATGTGCTATTATGTACCTCTGGGGTCTAGATGGTGGTCTCTAATTTCAATTTGTCACTAAAATATGCAAGAGCTCCTTGAAGAAATACTTGATTCCACATTTGGGACCTGGAAAAACAAAAACATCTGGAACCATGTGTTGACATTCCACTAATGCCAATTTTATATAACACATCCTCAGTCATTTGCATTATTATACTAATTATGATAAAATAACTAAGTTATTTTGAGTAGTCTTTTTTTGTTGTTGTTGTTGAGGAAGATTAGCCCTGAGCCAACATCCGATGCCAATCCTCCTCTTTTTGCTCAGGAAGATTGGCCCTGGGCTGACATCTGTGCCCATCTTCCGCTACTTTATATGGGACGCTGCCATAGCATGGCTTGACAAGTGGTGTGTCGGTCCACACCCGGGATCCAAACCTGCAAACCCCAGGCTGCTGAAGCGGAGCATGCAAACTTAACCACTATGCCACCAGGCCAGCCCCTTGGGTAGTTTTTAATACTTGTGTTGAGCTGTCAACTCAGATCGTGTCAATACTGTAGTCATGCATATCTGATGAAGAGGGTCAGAAGCTCTTACAGTTGGAGGGCCTTGCAGAATGTTGTTTAACACATGATGAAAGACTCACAGAGCTCAAGTAGTGTGCCCGCTGTCCCGAAAATAAGCTGACCTGCTTCAGGATCCAGTAATTTTATACAAAATAATGTTTGCTAAATTCTGTGCTTTCTACAAACATCAAATTGCCCTCGTTGAATATTTGCACTTGTGTGTCTGTGTTAAATATCTTTTTCTAGGTAACTTGGCCAGTTGGAGTCTCCCACTGGGAAGTTTTGAACTTTAGTTTTAATTGGAGACTTTCAGCTTTTTCTCTAGGTACCCAAGTACAATCAGGGTGCCGTTCATGAGAACTTTCCAAAACACATGATTTTGTGATAATGAAAGCCTCATCAGCATGATCTTAAATTGAAAAGGACAGCACAGACACCAGCCTGGTGGTGTGGTGGTTGGGTTTGGTGCACTCCGCTTTGGCAGCCCAAGTTCACAGGTTTGGGTCACAGTCACAGACCTACACCACTTGTCAGCCATGCTGTGGCGGTGACCAACATACAAAATAGAGGAAGATTGGCGCAATGTTAGCTTAGGGCGAATCTTCCTTGAGGAAAAATAAAAAAGGACAGCACAATGTTATGCTCTGTGTGGTGACAATATAACAAAACCTTTCTGTTCATTTCACCAAATATTTATTGAATGTGCCCAATGGACAAGGCATTTTGCTAGTTGCTGCAGGGAGACAGAGCTGAGCAATACATAGTCACTGCCCTCAAGGAACCATAAGAATTTTACTGCAGGGTTAGGAAGGGCCATCCCACAACAAGGCCATACCAGGAGCAAAGACAGACAAGGAAGGAACGTATTAGGAGAAAAGCAGGTAGTCCATTCGTGTGTGTGTGCATGTGTGTGTGTGTGTGATTCAGAATCATCAGATTCCCATGCAGAGAGTAGGCTAGAATTGTAGAATGGAGCCATATAGAGGAGGACTCTGCATGACAAGATCACCTCTGAGACATGAAACGACTTGCCAAAGTCCACATAGATCCAGAGTGGCTTAGAAGAATGTGTTCTGACTTCTCTTCCGTGGTTTCGATGGGCACCGTTGTCCCTTTATAAGAAGACACAGAGAAGCCAAATCTTTAGATTAAGGTTTCTCACCCCCAAAACTATGGACATTTGGGGCCGGGTAATTTTTCATGGTGGAGCTGTCCAGTGCACTGTAGGATGTTTAGTAGCATCCCCCTGCACCCACTCCCCAGTTGTGACAAACAAACATGTCTCTATCACTGGCAAGTGTCCCCTGGGGATCACCATTGGCCCTGGTTGAGAACAACTGTGCCAGAGTATGTAAAAATGGTTCATATTTAACAATGAATATGTAATCAAGTGGATAAACCTTAGGGCTGATCCGACTTCTCAGGACCACATTGGGAGTTCACGCTTAGCTGAGACCAAGAGAGGCAGTAAGACATGTCTGTCTTCAAAGATCAAGTCTCCCAGGCCAGACTGGAATACCAGAACATCAGGCAATAAAGTCATTTAAATGTATTGGTCAGTAAATTATAGGGAAGAAAACTGTCCTGTGAATAATCCAGAATTAATTGTTTCACATGTTTTCTTCATTTTAAAGACTTCAGAGTAACTGTTTAAAAGATCCAAAAGGTCCCTTTTAAGAGAGAGACCATTGAATTTCTCAAACTGAAATCGCCCTTCCTTCCCAAGGTGTCACAGTCTTTCTACTTGAGTTGGTGAGTTTTCTGAGCAGGTTAGCGTCCTTAAGAATAAAGGGGCTACATGAATGTGAGTCCCCACCATTTTCTCTTAACCTCACCATCAGGGGAGGGCTTCACACATTAGAACAGGAGAAGTGTCCCCTGTTTAATGTGCAGAATGAAAGCACGCAGATGGCGCTTTGAATTTGCATGCCGTGTGAACTGTAAGACCTAAAGATGCTTCTTTTATGAATAATTTAAAACTTCTGATGAGTCAAGTTATCCTATAAAGGAAATTCATTTTGTGGTCATGTTTAATCATTAGTAATTATGCTATTTTCTTTTATTATAGGTAATGTATGAAACGGTTGGATCAATTGAAAAAAATAAAGACTCTCTTTCACAGAATCTTCTATTTGTAATGAAAAGTGAGTTTTTCCCTCCCATGGTTAAAATGTCACACATTCCTTATTTCTCTATCTCTGAAAGTTGTCCTATAAAATATGCCACCAGCTAAGGGATAATTGAAGTATCTTTTGCATTCTAATGCCCAGAAGAATAGGGAATGGATCTTGCCACGCTGTACATTGGTTACAATTTAATTTGGAGTCTAGTAGAAACCGTAATTTAGCTAAGCTTTTAGCAGATAGAAATACAAAACACCTTTACCACTCTAGTGATATGAATATAAAAAAGCTCTTTTGTGAAGACTAAGGAAGATGAATATGGCTTCCAAAGTTATTTAGGCCACAGCAGGGTGAATTTCATTACTTAAGATGACTCTGGAGCACACCTAAGGGTGGTATTTTATTCTTATGTACTACTAATGCTCACGAAGTAGAAGGAGCATACAAATTTATATATACACACCTACATGCATATATGTATATATCAATATAAATTTATAGGCTTCATCTACTTAGTGAACCATAGGACTTTATATACATATATCTATAATTCCATACTATATGTAAAACTATATACTACACTTATATCTAGTATAATTATGTATATATATCAGTATATATATTTCTATCTTTTCTAGTAATTATTTTCTTAATAGCAATTCTGCAGTGATTCTAATTTTCCTAATAACCTTTTCAGTGAATTATAACGTATCATCTTTTGTGCTTCAAGTTGCTGTAAACGAGATAGAGTCATTTATCTTTCCCGGGAAAAGAAGCATATGATAGCCCTTCGTGAAATAGTCGGATGCCTTTGAGCTGGAAATAAGACATCTGTATCTCTTCTGGTTTGAGGAACATATTTACCTTAAATCAAGCAGCACAGTTGCAATACATTGTTTTTCACGAGGAATTACTCTGTTTGCCTCTCAGAACTTACGGTTATCGAGTTCTCTTAAACCCTGAGACTAATGATAAAAACATGGACTTGGAATAATATCACATAGAAAGAAAGAATTGAAATAATTGATCCTACTGATTATCATTAGAAATATCTTCCTTCTAGTTTTCAATTATTTGAACTTTCATTTATAATGTACTTCCATTTAATATATATTTTATGAAGATCTAACATATAGCATGTTTTTGAAGTTGGTGCAATGCCTTTTTCTTTATTTTTGTATTCATGGTGATAGAATATATATTTTGAATGAGAATATGATGGCTAGCGATATTGCAATTCTGCTTATCTTAATAGAGGCCCTGTGTTTTAGAAGTCATTCTTTCATGTACACTTGCTAACAAGTTCCAAGAGAAAACAAGTGAATCTTGTTTTATTCTAAATACCTTAGGTTATAGGTACATCTGAGCAAGAGAACAGAATTTACAATGTGGCTTTATATGTTTACACCAGAGATGACAAACATTTTCTATAAAGGGCAGAGAATAAATACTCTAGGCTTTGCGAGTTATAAGGTCTCTGTTGCTACTACTCAGCTCTGCTGTTATAATGAGAAAGCAGCCTTAGACAATACAAATGGACCTGGCTGTGTTCCAATCAAACTTTATTCATAAAAAGAGGCAGTGGGCTGAATTTGGCCCATGGGCCGTAGTTGCTCACCCATTCTATCATGTAAGAAAAAGATGCATAAGTTGTAATAGTATTTTACGAATATGTGGCCTGTTTTGATGCTGTAAATAGTTATTAAAAGTAAGTGTTAACTTATAGGTAATAATAATAATTTCTATTTTAGGGTAGTTTGCTCAGTACTTTGCTTACAGTATGTAATTCAATCATCATATCATCAAAAAGTTCCAGCTGAGGAAGGTGGTTGTGTCTGTTGTAGGATCCGAACAAGCATAGGTGTGTCTGCGAGACGCCTGAGCGAGCGAGAGCAGGTAGCTGGAGACGCGGCTCGTGCAGAGATGCAGCAAGGGCTCTCATCTGTGCCTGAGACCAGGAATAGAGTCTACTCGACTCAGAAAGAGGCAAAGAGAGTCAGAATTCAGACTATTAAGTCCGCTTATAAGAATAGGAAGATTTAAGATTTCCTGTCAGTAATGTTGTTAGCTGTTGAGTCTTTTGTCTCCACACCTCTCTGCATACCTGCTCATAAACTGTGCACACCTAAGTTAGCTTATCCCGTTTTACTGGCTGAAAGACACCCACCTGATGCCATGTTTATAGACCCCCAAGAGGGATGCTTCCCATTTCAACATGTATAGATTGTGGCATGAAGAAATGGGTGGCAGTAAGTGACTCTTTGTAATAGGAAAGAAAGGCAAAATGAGGGGTTCTTTATCAGGTTCTAAGAGGCAAAAGGATGGCTGAATTTCTCTTTTTATGTCCCGGGGAACCTGCTGTCACCTCCCATTTGCTCAGCTTGTGGTCAGGGCTCTAATGTTAGGTTCTCAGTGCATGATGGCATCTCCCTGTGGCAGCAGGATGACACTAGTCCTATATCTTCATGCAGCCTGACCATATGATTCTGAGACAAGATAGAAACCAGTCAGTTACATGTTTTGGTCCATATTTATGTCTAGTGCCTATAGATTTATTGAAGGCTTTTTTCCCAATTATAGGAATAACATGTTACACTATTTATCTGTGGTTCCATCCATAGATTTACTTGCTATAAATATAATTACTTTTTATTTCTTGAAATGGGCCATGGTATTATATATTTATTGTTTAACTGTTTGTCTTGAAATGATTTCAAACGTAAAGAAAAGTTGCAAAATTAATACAAAGAACTCCAGTGTGTCCTTTCTCCAGACTCATTTTTTTCATTTCCTTTCTTTTACTCTATCATTTTCTCTCCCTCCCTGCCCTTCTCTCTTCCTCTGCCCTTCCTTCCTTCCATCTATGTGTGTGCACATGTGTGTGTGTGCACGTATATTTTCTGAACCATTCGAGAATGTCACCTGCGTCTTTATGTGTAAATACTTTGGTATATGTATCCTAAGATCAAGGACATTATCTTATATAACATATCTTACATAACATGTCCTGTCCATCATGTGCTCATCTCTCCTCTGGTGCCTGGGCTCAGCCTGTCCTGTGGGCTGCTGCCTGCTGTGAGGTTGTTGCCACTGTGACTCTCACCAGCAATGCCCGGTTCCTGCCCCTTCCCTCGGGATTGTACAAGGGATCTTTGGTTATTTTTAGCTTTATTGTTTTTTGTAAGCCTTTTGGGGGATTAAAATAGACTTTCTTACACTTTTTGGACTATTTTTTTAGTAGGCGTTTCTTCTTTATATAAAGAATCCCCATCTCCCAGGCCCCTTCTTCTAACCCCCAATGTGACTCCCTCCTCCATTCACCCGATCAGCTCTGTCCTGTGTGGGGTGGGGGGTGGTCAGTGGTACCAGGAGGAGGAAGGGGTTGGCCGCCATAGACAGCAGTCCACGGAAGCTGGGGTATTTGGTATTTGGGGGCAGTGTAGCTGCTTTTGTTACTCTATTTATTTTAGTCACTTGTTTAAAACACAAATAAAGCAATAGGGGCAAACTCAAAAAAAATTATCAGAATATTTAACATTGAGACAATACTAATGTCTAATCCAGAGTTCCTATAAAACTTGGCCACTTATACCACTGATGCCTTTCGTAGTGATTTTCCCCCAGTTCAGCTTCATTTGCTGCATTTAGTTGCCATTCCCCTTTAGTCTTCTTTAATCTGGGACATTTCCTCGACTTTTCTTTTTCTTTCATGACATTAATATCTTCAAATACTGAAGGTCCATTATTTGGAGGAATGTTCCTCGGTCTGGGTTTATTTGCTCTCTCCTCACATTGGCATCAGGTTTCATGTTCTTGGCAGGAGTCCCACAACATGATGGAGTGTCCTCAGCTCATCATGTTCAGAGGTACCTGATGACCCTTTGAAACATCACTGGTGACATTAACTGTGATCATTTTGTTAGGGTGGCATCTTTTGGGCGTCCCTAGTCGAAAGTCACTGTTCTTTCTTTGTCGTTGATAAGTAATTTGTAAGGAAGTACTTTGAGACAATGTAAATATTCTCTTCCTCATCAAACTTTCGCCCATTAGTTTTGCATACATGAATGATTCTTGCCTAAATCACTGATTTCTCTCACGGTTGCAAAACTGTGATTTTCTAACCCCATTTTCCCATCAACGGTGACATTTCTACAGTGACATTCTACTATAAGAACTCCCCTTTCTCATTAATTAATTAATTAATTTGTTACCAGTATGGACTCGTGGATTCTTATTTTATTCAGTGAATCATAATCCATTACTATCGTTTTTTTTTATCTTTTTTTTTTTTTTTTTGGTGACGAAGATTGTCACTGAGCTAACACCTGTGCCAACCTTCCTCTACTTTTTATATATGGGACACTGCTGCAGCATGGCTTGATAAGCGGTGCATAGGTCTGCACCTGAGATCCGAACCTCCAAACCCTGGGCCGCTGAAGTGGAGCCCGTGAACTTAACCACTATGCCCCTGGGACAGCCCCTCTACTATCGTTATTTTGATGCTAAAATTGCCCAAGACGTGGCCAGTGAGAGCCCTTCAAATAGCTCCTATGTCCTCTTGACAGGTTCTCATGATCTTTTTTAGCATTTCCTTACATTACGGCCTTCCCAAATGTTCTGGGATCGTCTACCTTGCCTCCGATTTAGACTAGGCCATGTGTCCAAGAAGGCTTGATTCATTTACAGGAGCGTGATCTAAGAAACAGTAAGCTCATTGGGCTTGGAAAGCTCATTTCTACTGGGGTGTCATTGCTTTTAGGCTTTTTCAGAACTAGAAAATTTAAGATATGGATATAAATAATATATATATATATTTGTAGCTATAGATTAAAAATCATGAATTTACTTTGATACCTCTAATTTCAACCCAACACAGAGCTCCTTTTTGCCTACCTGCGTTCCATAATTGTGTCTCCCTTTTCTGACACTTCTCCCTAGTTCCCTGTTTGTTCATTAGGGTAGTGACTTTTCCTTGTCTGCTTAGCTACTAAATATATTAGCCTGGGCAAGCAAAATAATCTGCGTGTGGAAAAGGTAAAAACGAAACTGCTTTGCTAGTAAACAATGCGAACTATCTGGTGGACTAAGCATGATCCTAAAGGATTTATGCACGTTATTTCACATTTCAATCGTGTAGTCATCCTCAGAGTAGGTACTGTCATGGTCATTTTATAGAAAAAGAGACCGAGGCTTAAAAACTGTCTACATCCGGGGGCCCGGCCCTGTGGCATAGTGGTTAAGTTTACGCTCTCCACTCCTGGCGGCCTGACGTTCGCAGGTTCGGATCCTGGGTGCAGACCTATACACTGCTCATCGTGCCAGGCTGTGGCAGGCGTCCCACGTAAAGTAGAGGAATATGGACACAGATGTTAGCCCAGGGCCAATCTTCCTCAGCAAAAAAGAGGAGGATTGGCAACAGGTGTTAGCTCAGGGCTAATCTTCCTGGAAAAAAAAAAAATGTCTACATCCAGATGTAGGTAACACAAGAAATGTGCCATCTAGATCCTTAACCACCATATAGTTTTCACTATGCTGTTCAGATTTGTAACCAAAAATCCATTCATCCATGCTCCAGTTTCTTTCTGGAGGTGTCAAGAGACGAATATGGGCCCAGGATTATTAGAATTTGTGTAACCTAACATCTAAAATATATCAGCTTGCTTTTACCTTTGTGGCTTAACTGGGTCAGAAAGAGGCACTTCTTGGCCCTAACAACCGAGACAGCCACATGATACAGGCTCTCCCCCAGATCTTTACATGCTGCCCTGAGGCAGGTTAGATCCTGGGGAGGTGTGTGCCCGGGTAGTTATTTTGCTGGAGTGGGGAGTTGCTCACAGAAACCATGTCTTCATGACTTGGTCACATGCACTGAAGCCCCTTAGGCCTGAGCAGGTAAGATTTGGTTCCGACTACCAGAAGAGTAGGAAGTGCCGCTCAGAGAGCCAAGGGCCGAGTGCTCAGGTGGAGGACAGGCGCACCTGGGATCAGGACTCTCTGCCAAGGGCGAGGAAGATCAGAATTCATCACATGGTATGATTAATAGTGGGGAAAATAAAAGAGGGGCCTAGAGAAAGATAGACCCCTCAATTATATCTTCCACTCAGAGCGTTTAGTGGTTGAAGCACTTAGATGAGGAGTAAGTCTAATGCTCATGTAAATAATGATTTTAATGCCACTTACCATATTCATTTATTTATTTCCTAGCTAGTGAAAATGTCGTGATCAATCATTTGTTCCAATCAAAACTGTCACAAACGGGATCCCTCGTCTCTCCCTATCCTTCTTTTAAATTCAGAGGACGTAAATCTGCCCTGCTCAGTAAGAAAATGACAGCTTCTTCAATTATTGGAGAAAACAGGAATTACCTAGAACTTGGCAAGGTAGGAGTTTTTATGATTCTTTTATGGTTGTTTTTAAGTTTGCTTAGCACGTTTGCTTCTTTTTTTAAAAAAAGAAAAGCACAATTCTGAATACGAATGAAAAGTTGATATTTTAATTTAAAAAATTAATGAAAAGGAGCCCTACCTGAAGTATAACCATAAGAGAGAGGGAACCATACAGGAAAGTACAGCAGCATGAACATACAGCAGCAAATACAGTATGAGCAATTTTATTGGTTGTCTGTGCGGCATCCTGTTTGTGTTTCATCTCCGTGACTGTCTTGGTGATGAATGGGAAGTAACTTCACAGACAGTAGGTGTGGAGGGAATAACCTTCACCACCTTATTCTGTTGACATTGATCACTTCAGAAGTTAGGGCTCTAAACAATACATTGTAGTTCCTCTTAGAGACATAGTGTATTTTTCAGATGCTAGAATGTTTTCACTGTGTATTTTGTGTATTTTTAACTTACTTTTGTATTATACTAATTTTTAAATGTGTGTTTGTCCCCCACAAGTATGGTTGTACTTACAACCTAAAGGTTCTGACTATTTGTAAAATAGAACTAAAAATTCAGTAAAGAGTTGTTTCAAACCGAAGTGTTTTAAATTTAAGAATTCAGTGCCTGATTGTAACCCAGTTTGTTTTGCTTGCCTCTATTCAAACCACACAAGATGAGAAATATGATTGGGACGGTATCCAAGACAATCAACTTTAGGAATTCAGTTGTTGTAGCTTGCTGGAATGCATTTTAGCTTACCAATTAAAATAAAAGCATAATTAAAATCAGCTCTATTTTAGAAGAGTGTAGAAATGTGTATAACATATTAGAAATAAGTGTGTGTGAGTGTGTTTGTGTGTGTATTTAGCCAGTAGACCCTCCAGCACTGGATGGTCACAGGAATTCAATCTCATTGCATACAAAATGGCATATTTTACATAAAAAAGACAAAGGGTTACCCTTTGTAAGGAAGATCTCTATTCCAGAGGGTTTCTCTGAAGCTTGTGGCCCTTTCTTTCTCAATCATCCTGGAAATCAAGAGCAAGAAATCACCACACACCTCTAAACTGTAATTTTTAACCTTAATTATTAAACATTACCAGGCACAGATGCCATTAGTCTTTTCCCTAAAGGGCTGCAAAGGGGAGATAATTCACAGTAGTTCCTCCACCCAGAAAGGGAAATTGAGTGTTCAGTTTCAAGGGATGGAGATTTATTTATTTTTATTATTCCTTGAATGTCCCATTCCTTGCTTCTCTTCAAACTGCACTCATCCCTGCTCATCCACCCCTGTGCCCAGCAGGTTGAAGTCTACCCACACTGTAACTTAGCAGCACACTTGGCTTTGTGTTTGTAGAAAACAGGTTGATCTTGGACTAATTGCTTCATTTGACATTCTCTTGTCAGTTACAATTCATCATTTCAGTTTGACAGCTCATCTTAATGGAAGGAAATGAGCTCTTGCCATGATAGCAATAGCATCAAATTGACAAGAATATTTCATCAGAATTTTTTCTTCTATCAAGACCTTTTTATTTTAACATAAATGATTTTGGATCAATAGATATGTTGGTCTAAGTCTGTATGATTTTGTGAAATGTAACAGTACATTAGTGGCTGAGGTCCTTTTAACCTCTGGTGGAATTTAATTAATTACCTTCTGCCCTTTATTTCTTTACCCATCGGCTCATTTCCACCGAATTCTTTTATCTCCATTATCATTTAATCTTTGCTACACATGAATTTTTTTAAGAGCTGTACATAATTACTTATCGAAGAAAACAGTTTGTTGTAATTTTTCAGACAGGTAATTTTCTAACCCCTTTTAGTAGTTAAAAAAAGAAAAGAAGAAGAAAAGGAGAGGAAAGAAAAAACTGGATAAGAAATTTACTGTAGTTAAGAGAACAAAACAATGATTGTTAAAAGAACAATCTTTGTAACATAAAATAGTATCCTTTTGCCCCAGAGTAAGCTACATTACAATGAGTGACACAACCAGGATTCCAGGGTGAGTTACTGTACCGCCAAGAGCCCAGATCTGGGTCTATTCTCAAATTACACTGGTTACCTGATGGGGATAGCCATGCACTCAAAAGGTCGCGGTAATGGTTGATATTTTACATGTCCATTTCCCCAACTTACAGCACCATTACAGAAAATCATTTGGTAGTGATTTTTATACTCTGTTTTAAATCTATATCTGCCAGTAAGTGAATTTACATGGATGAGAGGGTTAATTTTTTTCTTCTAAATGGAATTTAGTGAAATAAATCTTCTCACTTTTTTTTTTTCTTTTTGTTTCCATTACAGTTATTAAAAAAGAAAGGAACTTCTACATTTCTTGAAAGACTGGAACGGGGAGGCCCGGTCACCATTGCATCGCAACTCAGGGTTAGTGAAGTTTTCAGATTTCAAAAACTTAAACTTAGATTATATCAACTGTGGAGGGTTTACATAGAATTTCTCCCTGTTTTTGACGACCTGAGTAACTTCAGAGAAAAGTAAACGTGTGCACGCACTCACACACACACACACACACACGCACAGAATGTATGATAAATAAAAGAGTCATGGATTGAAGATAAATATTTTTATTAAAAAACTCCCTTTTATTTTCAGTCAGTGTCTTCTTTGGAGACTCATTTTGGTTTTACTTCTCTCCTTAGAAATCTCTAACGGATATTATTGGAAAACTTCAGAAGTGCACTCCACACTTTATTCATTGCATCAAGCCCAATAACTCAAAGCTGCCAGATACCTTTGATAATTTTTATGTGTCTGCTCAGCTACAATATATTGGGGTCCTGGAGATGGTGAAGATCATCCGATACGGATACCCTGTTCGGCTTTCCTTCTCGGATTTTCTGTCAAGGTAAATTCTGCTCTTGAAACAGTGTGTCCACTGTTTGGTGTAGCAGACTGATGATATTGTAACAAGGATCTTCTGTTTTCTTCTCTGGCATTGCCTTTATCGTTCATATTTTTCTGTCTTGAGTAAACAAAATACTCTGGGAAACAATGAAATGCACTGATAAAGCTTATGCAAAAAATTACTAAACTTTACTGAAGATGAGAGCTAGAAAACCATTTTCATATTCCTTTAAATTTGTGGACTTCCTTGCATTTGAAGATTTACAAAATTGTTGCATATAATGTTTACATAAAAGTTGTAATTTAACAGAATAATATATATATTGTTTATTTTCTCCTATATATCTAAGAACAAAATCTTTTTTAGATCAGGGGTTGCCAAACTGCAGCCCACTGCTTGGTTTTGTAAATAAAGTTTTATTAGAATACAGCCACTATTGAAAATAATGAGAATGTCTGTTTTTGGGCAATCAAAAAGTGAAAATGGGTGGGCAAAAAGAAAACCAGAAAGTATTTGGCAATCTTAGAAAAAAAATATGAAATTTAAAAATAATATCGATATAAAATAATATCAGTATTACAAGTACAAAAACTAGCATTTATGGTTAAAAACTAACTGTACAACAATAGTATGGAAAAAATCTGACAAATCATTCATCTAAAAAAAGAGATTTTAAGACTTTCGTTGACTGGAAGTTCAATTTGAACCACTAGTGTGAAGGAGCTGCAAAACTAAAATAAAGCAAACCAACCAAAAAACTTAAATCACTAAGTTGGAAATATTTAGTTCAGAACACAGGATATAATATTTAAATTATAGCTAAAATTCTACATTCAATTTTTATAACAATTTTTTCCAGAATAAAGGAGTAGCATTTTTTTATTGTGTATTTTGGTAAATTTCACAAAGATACAAAATAAGAAAATAAACATCATTTGAGTTCATTTGACCCATCCGTTTTAAAAGGACTGACAGATGATCTTCAGAAGAGAGAAGATAAAACCAGCCACATATCAGGATAAATTATTTGGAGAATGGATTTGTTTAACCTGCAGAATATATATTTCAGATAGACAAAATATTTGTGTTTAAAAACTTCAAAGATGCTTATTAATGAGGTAACAGACAGACTGTCTCCTATTTGTAGGGAAGAACTGCAAAATTGGGCATTACGTAGGGATACATTAAGCCTGAATATAAGAATTCCTGTGTGCTTTTGTTGGTTAGGAGAGTAGTGTCCCATCACTGCTTATTGTACATCAAGAGGCATCAGACAAGGATCTGCCTCTTTCTGTTCCCGTGGTGGAAATCCGTTTGTGGTCTTTAGAAAGGTTTGGCCTATTAAAGAGTATACATATTTCCCACACATTATAGTTTGGGTATTAGAGTCATGCCTCTCGCCCATTTAAGTACAAGTGGTCTTTGCATCAATGAGTTTAAAAACTACCCATATACAAGTTTAAAATAACAGATTCCCAGATTCACCCCAGACCTTCTAAGTGACAGTCAACAGGGAGTGGGATCCATGGACCCACCCCTGCCCCGATTTCGCTTGTGGTGAGGGGTCAGGTGATGTCATCTGCTAGTAGCATATGGTCTCAGAAGGTCACAGGCCTGGATCAATTATAGTTCGGTCAGCAGTAGTAGCTCCTTTCCCAAGCATCGCTGAGAATAGAGGTTCTCCAACATTAGTGCCCACCTGAATCACTGTAGACTTGTTAAAATACAGAATCCTGGGCAGCACCCCCAGAGTTTCAGATTCAGTAGGTCTAGGAGAGGCCCGTGAGTTAGCCTTTCCAATGAGTCCCCAGGTGATGTTGACATCGCTGGCATGTGAACCCTTCGAGAACCACTGACCTAGAATATCTAGTCCCTTGGGGACAATGTCTTTGTTTTGTTTTGTTTCTTCCCAGCCAAGGGTTGAAAGTGTGTGGATGCTTGTTAATCAAAGTAACTTTGTTGAGAATGCAGAATCTCAGGCGTTTACTGATTTACTGACTTAAAATCTACAAATTTATTGAGATTCCTAAGTTATCTGTATGCACTTGAAGTTTGAGAAGCACTGTTAATGGATTCCTGTATTGGGTGTGAAACAGGATTGATCTTTCTGTATGAATATTTTTTTAAAGTGCATTTAATGCATTTTCTTCTGTTTCATTATTTTGTCAATGTCCTAAAATCGTGGAATCAAAGAAGCGTTGCATTAAAGGGTCCATCAATGTTTCTCTAGTATAATTTTTGGTAGCTACGTGAATCTTCCCGACTACTACAAGCAGTTATCTGAATTGCTCTATTCCCAGGAAAGGGTGGTGAACATGGCTGTGTGAGTGTGTGCATGTGTATGTATGTATACAATATTATATGATAATGATTAGAAAATTATTTTAACCTTTGTTTTTTGTATTTTTCCAAGTCTAGCTTAATATATATACTCTACCAGGACTAACCTGTGTTAAAATAGTATATGCAATGAATGTCTTTTAAAATTAAGTACAATTTTTCATATGTATGCCTCTCTTCCTAGACTATGACTTCCAGGCAGGGACCATCTCTTATTCAGTCACAATGCCTGTGCATTGTAGGTATTTAATCAGTGTTTTCAGAATGAAGCCGGCATTGGGAGATTAATGGTTCTTCAATTTAAAGTAATGTTTCTGCATAACAGAGACCATAGCTGTACTTTATTTGTTTAAAAGAGTAGTGGAGATGGGAAATGATACTTTTTGGTAAATATTTCCATTTCTTTCACTAGCCCCTTACTTGAAAGGAGATGTGATTTCTACTTATCATCCTTATTTGCAATGACATATCAGTAGAAATGAAATTATTAATTTATTTCAATGGAAATTTGTCACCCTCTCTCTTAAATGAAAAACGCCAGTCTGGAATATTATCATAAAAAATACCAATCCATAGAGAGATTACCAGTTTCTATAGAATTTGAATAAAACACAATCCACATATTGTCACATCAAGAAATAACATAATTTGATATTTATTCAGAAAGCTGATCAGAACTTTGAAATTACCCCAGCCAATCAAGCATCATTATATAAACAAAGCCTAGAGGTGCAATTTAATAGAAATTTTGGTTGCCAAAATATTAGATAACAGAATGTATTGTTCCTATGGAAAATATTTATTTTCTATTTATATCACCTTGTCTTAACTGTTAGAGGATAAAAACCTGTCAAAACAAATTACTTCGTTTAGTACACAAAAAGGAATATGGTTACCACAAAAATAGTGGACAAAGAAGCAAAAGATGACCAGTTTTGAAACAAGCACCTACATATTTGTAGCATTTGTTTTTTCTGAAATCCAACATGACAGTAAATGTGAATAATGGGTATTTCTGTGGATTCTGTAGGCGGACGTGATGATATTGCAAATTTATTTCGTGGTATCCTGGCTTTAATAACTGTCGATCATTCTGAGTCTTCCTAATTGAAACTAGAGAATTTCCTTAGTTGAGAGGATCCTATTTTGATTAAATGTAGAAGTATGCTTGTTGAATTTTTTTCCTAATAGCGTCAATAGCTTCCAAGTGAAATGATAAAGATGTAAGATCCTGTCTCCCATGGTGAGAGACTTCACAAATTTGGATATATAAGGAAGAAGGAGAGGAACAATGGAACTAAATTGTTATGTAAAAATCGTGATACGTAATTGGATGACCTGTTGCTATAGTCTGAATTGTGTCCCCCTAAAACTCATATGTTGAAGCCCTAACCCCCAATGTGACTGTCTTTGGAGATTAGGCCTATAAGGAGGTAATTAAGGTTAAATGAGGTCATAAGGGTGGAGCCCTGATGCAATAGGATTAGTGTCCTTATAAGAAGAGACACCGGAGAGCATGTTATCTGTCTCTGCCATATGAGGACACTGCCAGATCCTGGCCATCTGCAAGCTGGGAAGAGAGATCTCAGTAGAAACTAATTGGCCATCACCTTGGTCTTCGACTTCCCCGCCTCCAGAACTGTGAGAAGATAAATTCCTGTTGTTTCAACCACACAGCGTGTGGTATTTTGTTATGGCAACCTGAGCTGGCTAAGATACCTGTGTCTGTAGATATGTGTTTATAGGTGTCAATAAGTAGCAAAACGGGACAAGTTATGTTGGGAAGTTTTTGGTGCTGTGTTCATGTTATTTGATATCTTGTGCTAATGGAAGGAAATGTAGTTTACATGTACATATCATGTGGTTTAAAAAACTCTGTGGCTTTGTTCGTGTAATTATGTCATCCCTTCCACCTTTTTCTCCATTTACTTGGTGACATTTACTTGATATTCAGGATTCACTGAGGCATCTTCTCCTTTGGAAAATCTTTCATAAAATTCCAAATTGGTTTGTGTCTCTTCTCTAAGCTTCAAAAAGGCCTTGTGTAATGCACTCATTATATGCTCATTAGATCACACCAGAAATACTCATTTATTGTGCCAATCTCAACCACTAGACCAGAGGATAGCAAACCACAGCCCACAGGGCAAATCTGGCCCACCCCCTGCTTTCGTATGACCTGAGAGGTAAGAATGTTTTTTACATTTTTAAGTTGTTACATTTTAACTGGTTATATAAGTACATATGTAATACCCTCAATGTTTCCTCTTGGCATACAAAGCCCAAAGTATTTACTCTCTGGCCGTTTACAGAAAAAATGTGCTTCCCCCACACTAGATGATGGGCTCCTGGCACAGGGGACAGGTATTACTGCATGCCTGGCCTCCAGCAGAATGCCAGTCACCCATCATGCTTCTGGATCCAGACTCTGAAACTCAACAGGAAAGATCTGATATGCTCCCCATTTCAATAACTTTCTCTAATGTTGATTTGATGCTTCAGTTTGTGAGATTTTTCTGATGGTGTTGTAAAGACAGTTCTCACCAATATATTCTGTAGAATATAAAATCCCAAGTCAGTGGCTTGCAACAGCAAAGGCTTATTTGTCTCTTACATTACATTTGACTGTGGTTGAGAAGTAGCACACCTAAGCTGGAATC